TTGTCCGTTTTTGCGCGAGAATTAGGGAGAAATCATTGTACCGATCGTCAACTGTAAAAACGAGCCTCGAGGCTCGAACAATCGCGTCTCCTCTTCCCAAATTGTCCACTTTTGTGCGCGATCCGAGCGTCGAGACATTCGAATCCGTATCGACAGATCGCGAGAAATTATTTTTCCCTAATTCGCGCGCAGATTGCGCACAAAAAATGGATAATTTCAGAAGAGAAAACACGATTGTTCGAGCCTCGCGACTACGTTTTTACAATTACGGTAATTTCTCCCTAATTCGCGCTCAGATTCCGCACAGAAATGAACAATTTCGGAAGAGGAGATACGTCACTTTACCGTAATGAAAAGTGGCGATTTTTTAATGTTTATACGAAATTATTTATACTGAGAAAAATATCTCAGTATCCTAAGATAACAAATACAAGTAAATCTTCTCGAAAGTTAGCATCCATATTTTTAAACGTGTTAAAACGCAAACCCTTAAATATATCGACTTAAAAATAAAGTGACTTATGCCACTTCCAAAATAAACGGCGCAATTATAAAAACGAGTCGCCAGGCTCGAACAATCGCGTCTCCTCTCCCCAAATTGTTCACTTTTGCACGCGAATTAGAGAGAAATCGCTGTACCGATCATCAACAAATTATAAAATCAATCCTCGAGACTCGAACAATCGCGTCTGCTCTTCCCAAATCGTCCAGTTTCGCCCGCGATCCGCGCATCGATCAGAGAGAATTCACTGCAAAATTCGCGATCACTCTTACGACGTCGAATAATCTGCACCAATGAACCGCGAGAAATTATAAAATCATAAACATTCGTGCGGGATGTCGACAACTACAATTTGCGCGGGTGCTGAACCGGCGATCCCCGCCATAATAGCGCGATTCCGCGCGAAGTTCGCGTCGCGCGTCGCGCTGAGATCCGTCGGATCGGTCGATCGAGTGTGTTTTCAGGGGTCCTCGGTAGATTGCAATGTTTTATTAAACAATCATTTGGTTTCCAAGGATCGAGCTTGCTACGCTACTTTTCTCGCCGCTGACAAATTATGTACAACACGTGTCGTCTACGCGCGGCCAATCTGATTGCGCGTGACAATAGTGATTCGTCGTTCGCACGGTCGTCGATAAGTCCAGTTTCAAGGCAACGGAACGAGCGGAACGCTTCGAGAAAACTGCCACGACAATTCTCTGGCAGGCAAAGAATTTTCCTTCCATTTCCAGGGCGCCGTGGATCGAGAATTACAAANAATTATTTATACTGAGAAAAATATCTCAGTATCCTAAGATAACAAATACAAGTAAATCTTCTCGAAAGTTAGCATCCATATTTTTAAACGTGTTAAAACGCAAACCCTTAAATATATCGACTTAAAAATAAAGTGACTTATGCCACTTCCAAAATAAACGGCGCAATTATAAAAACGAGTCGCCAGGCTCGAACAATCGCGTCTCCTCTCCCCAAATTGTTCACTTTTGCACGCGAATTAGAGAGAAATCGCTGTACCGATCATCAACAAATTATAAAATCAATCCTCGAGACTCGAACAATCGCGTCTGCTCTTCCCAAATCGTCCAGTTTCGCCCGCGATCCGCGCATCGATCAGAGAGAATTCACTGCAAAATTCGCGATCACTCTTACGACGTCGAATAATCTGCACCAATGAACCGCGAGAAATTATAAAATCATAAACATTCGTGCGGGATGTCGACAACTACAATTTGCGCGGGTGCTGAACCGGCGATCCCCGCCATAATAGCGCGATTCCGCGCGAAGTTCGCGTCGCGCGTCGCGCTGAGATCCGTCGGATCGGTCGATCGAGTGTGTTTTCAGGGGTCCTCGGTAGATTGCAATGTTTTATTAAACAATCATTTGGTTTCCAAGGATCGAGCTTGCTACGCTACTTTTCTCGCCGCTGACAAATTATGTACAACACGTGTCGTCTACGCGCGGCCAATCTGATTGCGCGTGACAATAGTGATTCGTCGTTCGCACGGTCGTCGATAAGTCCAGTTTCAAGGCAACGGAACGAGCGGAACGCTTCGAGAAAACTGCCACGACAATTCTCTGGCAGGCAAAGAATTTTCCTTCCATTTCCAGGGCGCCGTGGATCGAGAATTACAAAAATCATTTCCAGGTGAAATCAATTTCACGGCTACCGGATGTTCCGTCCGTTTCTATCGAACCGGGAGCAAAACGAAGACCGAAGATCTTAGCCCTAGTCTTCTTCATTTTGATCCCGTTTCCGCACACGCGGCGCTCGCAATCGCATAAAATCCGCTGGTCCGACCGATCAAACATATTCCAGAAGGTATTGCGTATTCGCGCAAGGATCGCGCCCCTTCGAGTCGCGGGCGAATAAAATATAAAAAAAAAGAAACGAAAGAAGCAAGAGCTCGAACCCTCGAAACGCGTGTAATAATCTCTCGATACGTTGCCTCGCTCTTCCTTGGACGCGTAAAAAAGTAAAGAACAAATAATAAACGTGGGGCTGTGGAGAAAAGGGTGAATGAAAAATACGCAATATATTCTGGGACGTTCGTGGCGATAAAAGAAATCCACCCCTTCGTGCGCCCTGTAAACGACCCTGTAAACGTGGCTGCCTGTAGAACGCGTGTCACCGACTCTCGCCGCGACAGTTTATTTATCGAGAAGCGCGTCTTTTTTATTTATCGAGAGCACATTTGTTTCTGCGCGCGATTCCTTTTTTCGTCGATTTACAAACAGTTTACGGCGAGAGAAACACGCCGTCGTGGGGCGTGTCGCGTTGACGAATCCGTCGTGCATCGACGAGAAGCGATGTTGGTATCTGGCTCAAGGAAAGAATTGACGGGCTTTTTACAGAGCGCACGTGGACCTGAGACTGGTCCCGACTGGTCCTGGACGGTGCGCGGTTCCCTCTAATGTCTCTCTAATTGACGCTCAGATTGTCCACGATAATAGAAAATTTAGGAAAAGGAGACACGATTGTTCGAGCCTCGCGATCCATTTTTATAGTTGCGGAATTGTCAGCAACTATAAAAACGAGCTGCAAGGCTCGAATAATCGTATCTCCTCTTTCCAAATTGTCCATTTTTGTGCATACAGTAATGTCTCTCTAATTGACGCTCGGATTGTCCACGATAACAGAAAATTTAAGAAGAGGAGACACAATTGTTCGATCCTCGCGGTCCATTTTTATAGTTGAGGAATTGTTAACAACTATAAAAACGAGTTGCAAGGCTCGAATAATGAAATCTCCTCTTCCAGAAATTGTCCATTTTTGTGGACAATAGGAGCGTCAATTAGAGAGTCATCGCTGTACAATAATGTTTCCCTAATTGAGGCTGAGATTTTGGGCAATTCGGGGAGAGAAGATACGATTGTTCGAGCCTTGCGCCATAACCTTGACAATTCCTAACTATAAAAATGAGAGATATAAAAATTAAAGTATAAAAATTCGAAAGACATCGCTGTACAGTAATGTCTCCCTAATTGACGCTCGGATTGTGCACGAAAGTGGACAATATGGGAAGGGGAGATACGATTAGTCAAGCCTTGTAGCACGTTTTTTGTATAGATGTTGCAAATTCGTAATTATAAAAACAAATTGCAAGAATCGAATAATCGAATCTGCTCTTCCAAAAATCGTCCATTTTTGTGCACAATCTGCACGAAAATGGACAATTTGGGGAGAGGAGATACGATTGTTCGAGTCTTGACATAATCTTCACATAACCTTGACAGTTCTTAACTATAAAAATGAACCGCGAGACTCGAATAATCGTATCACCTCTTCCAAAGATTGTCCGTTTTTGTGAACAATTTTATCCGAGTCTTGCGGCTCGCTTTCATAATTGTGCACAATTTATAACTATAAAAATAAACCGCAAGGCTCGAACAATCGTATCTCCCCTTTCCAAATTGTCCATTTTAGTGGACAATCTGAGCATCAATTAGAGAGACATTACTGCAATCCGAGCGTCAGTTAGGGAGACATTACGTGACACGAGGAGAACGCGAGAATCAGCGGCGCACAAGCAACAGAACGTAAGAGAAAACGGAACTGAAAACAACGTTTAGGCCGTGCGATGCGGAGAGCCGCGTACAAACACGCCGCCACGTTGGCTCGCTTTTCTGCGGATAGCCAGAAAGAAAAATACAAAATTAGTACAACACAGTGTTTCGCGGTCCTGGCGAACCGCCGCCAATGGGCGTCCGGCGTTCGATGCTACGGTCCGCTCTTCTCTATTCCGGTCGAGAGCGAGAGAGAGAGATACAGAGAGATAGAGAGAGTAAAAAAAAAAATAAAAACAGGGGAAATGTACGAACTGGACCAGAACATAAACATTGCATTTTTATTAATACAGCATGAAGAAGGTTCATTGACACGCCTGCTTATAATCCACGCGACGGGGACGCGATCTTTCTCCGGGGTGGTGGGGGTGGGGAGGGGTAGTAAACAGGCAGCAGATCCGTGTTCGTGTGCGGAGGCGACAGAGAAAGAGAAAGAGAAAGAGAAAGAGAGAAAGAGAGAGAGAGAGAGAGAGAGAGAGAGAGAGAGAGAGAACGAAGAAACGAGGCGGGCCGCGTGTGGGTCCTTCGACGACGATCCCCGCGTGTCCTTGCTTCCTCGTCCTTTAACACGTTTCGCGCGACGCAGAGGATTCGCATTTCGTGTTCGCGCGACGGAATCCGTCCGCGGGTCCAGCCGACCGGCCGATAAATATTCGATCGTACTCGTGTGAACGCGGATTACACGTGAAACAGAGAGGTTGTTTTCATTCGACTTATACATACGGATCCTAGAATGTAAACGCGACCGTCGTCGCGGCGGCTACCGCGTTTGGATCCGTCCGGATCGATCGTCGCTGGTCGATCCAATGGGGGAAGCCGCCGCGGCGACGCGGTCGTATCTTAAGATCTTAAAACGGAGTACGTGTGTGTATATGTGAGTTCGAGCTCCACTCCGTGTTCCAGTGTGGATACATCCTCTTTTTTATATAGCTANGCATTTTTATTAATACAGCATGAAGAAGGTTCATTGACACGCCTGCTTATAATCCACGCGACGGGGACGCGATCTTTCTCCGGGGTGGTGGGGGTGGGGAGGGGTAGTAAACAGGCAGCAGATCCGTGTTCGTGTGCGGAGGCGACAGAGAAAGAGAAAGAGAAAGAGAAAGAGAGAAAGAGAGAGAGAGAGAGAGAGAGAGAGAGAGAGAGAGAGAACGAAGAAACGAGGCGGGCCGCGTGTGGGTCCTTCGACGACGATCCCCGCGTGTCCTTGCTTCCTCGTCCTTTAACACGTTTCGCGCGACGCAGAGGATTCGCATTTCGTGTTCGCGCGACGGAATCCGTCCGCGGGTCCAGCCGACCGGCCGATAAATATTCGATCGTACTCGTGTGAACGCGGATTACACGTGAAACAGAGAGGTTGTTTTCATTCGACTTATACATACGGATCCTAGAATGTAAACGCGACCGTCGTCGCGGCGGCTACCGCGTTTGGATCCGTCCGGATCGATCGTCGCTGGTCGATCCAATGGGGGAAGCCGCCGCGGCGACGCGGTCGTATCTTAAGATCTTAAAACGGAGTACGTGTGTGTATATGTGAGTTCGAGCTCCACTCCGTGTTCCAGTGTGGATACATCCTCTTTTTTATATAGCTAATATAGTTTATTTATATATGTATATAGGCGAATCAATCGCACAGAAGCGCGGCGAGCACCTTCCGGTGAAGACGGGCGACGATCTCCCGCGGAAGATCTCGCCGCGTTCTACCGGGGGACCGGTTACTGCGATCCCCTCCGAAGATCCAGCGACACGGCGCGAGACCGGTCCGGGGCCGAGTTCGCAACAACTTATTTACAGAAATAGAAAAAACGACAACAAGTGTCTCTCTCACACACGCGGGCTTACAAACTGTTCGCTATTCGGACAGGGGTGCGACGACTACACGCGCGGTGTCTCTACCAATTGTTACCCCGTCCCCGGCCCCGAAACCCGTTGCCCCTGAACTGACCGCCGCGTTTCATCCCCCTCGGCATGAAGCTGCCGATCGCGGGGCCGCGGGGCCCCCGGTCCATCCAGGGGGCCCTGGGTCCGCCCCGGAACCCTCGGCCACGGGGCGGGCCGCCTCTCCACGGGGGGAACGGGACGGGACCGGCGAGACGCGGCCGGAAGTTAGAGCCTAATGGACCGTCGAAGTCGTATATACCCGGATGAGACTCCGCCGACACCTGAGGGATCGGTCCGTTCAGGCCGGAATCGGATCCAGTCGGTGTCTGAGGCCCGTTCGTCAGCATCCGCTTCTTGTTGATGTTATCCTCGAGCTGGTCTTCGAAGCCGCCGTTCGTCGACGGTCGCTTGAGATCGTTGTTAGACGCGTTCACCAAGTCCTCCATCTGTTGGTCCATGTGTGCCGGCTGGTGCTCGTTGAAGCTGATCTCCTGGCCACCGAGTTCAGGCGAGTCGATGTTGTCGCAGGCTTTCTCGCCGGTTATCACCGGCTCGGACTCCACGTGCTCCTCGTACTCGGAGATCGGCACGTACTGGCTCAACTGGGAGTCCTTCGAGTCCGCCGCCACCGGCACCACCGTCACTTGGTTCAGCGGCGGCTGGTCCTCCGGCTCGGAGGTCACCGGCTCGGACTCGTGCTCGTGCACGAGACTCGAGCCGCCTGGGTAAGGCGGCTGGTCGAGGTCGCGGGAGTTCGGGGTGCCGTGGGAGGATCTACGGTCCTGCGGATTGTCCTCTTGGTCCTGGTCCGGCGCGTGCTCCGCGCTCACCAGGGCATCCTTGTCGTCCGGCAGACCTATCGGCATGCCCTCTTCGTCCAGGATCACAACCGTGTCCGGCGGCTGAAGCAACAGAGGCCGACTGTTCGGCAGGATCTCCGGCGACGACCTTTGGTGCTGGTCCAGGGATCGTGGTTTACGATTGTTCAGCAGATTCCTCTGTTTGTTGTGGTCGTCGGAGTATCGGTCCCGGCGGTTCCGCGGGAAACCTCGACCTCCCCGTCCTCTGTCGTTCCGGTGGAACGACATGTCCCTGTGAGGATGATCGGCAGGCTGCGAGTACCTGCCGCGCATCTGCGACTCGCCGTGGAACTCCGGATTCGGTCTCAGGCCGTGATTCTCCCGGTACTCGAAGTCTTGTTGGGGAAAGTCTGACTGGGATTGGTGCATCTGATGGAACTCTTGCTGGCCGAAATCCTGCTGGTTCTGCAGGAAACCCGGCGGCGGTCTGTTCTGATGGAAATTCGACTGGGACGGGTGAAAGTCCGACGGAGGATTGTGACGGAAGTCTCCTTGGTCCTGGTGGAACGGTGCTTGGTTCGGATGAAATTGGGGCGGCGGTGGCGGCGGCGGCGGTGGTCCCGAGTGCATGTGCACGTCCTGCATCATCGGCCCGTGCGGACCCGGCATTTGCCCGGAGGGAAGCGGGATCATACGCATATCCATGTCCATGTGCTGGGACGGTGGCGGATTACCGACTCTCATGTCTCTGTCCTGCGACCTCACGTCCACCAACACCCTTCCCTTTGGCTTGCTGTCGGTCTCGTCGTCGGACATCTCCATGTCTACACTTTCCACGATATCACCGGGTTGCATATGTTGCCTGATATTTGCATTGTGAAGATTTCAATTTAAGAGGATGACTGATTAACGCACTGCTCTAACGATAAGCTCGCAAATATACCGGTTCACTTACCGGTAATCCTGGTCGCCCGACGACCATAAGGTACTGTTCGGTATCGTACTCATCGAGCTGTCGTTCACGTTGTGATTGGCCGGACTGCCTGTTAAACTGATCAAATTACGATGGTCGACGTCCGCTGCTTTCATCAGTCGATACGGCAGCTGGTTCTCCACCGTCATCGGTATCGGTATCACCCTAGAGAAGCGCGTTTTAGTAATGTATAAAACGTGTCACGCGATGCCTCGAGATCGATCGAGCCTTTTCAAACTACTAAATGTTTCACCTATGATCTACGTCCCCGGTGGTACTCAGAAGAGATTCTTGCGGTTGAGGGTCATCGTACTCTACCGGGTCTGTAAATCCTGCTTTCTCATACATTGGCGGCGATTCCGGCGTCTCCGATAGGATCTCGTTTTTTCCTCTGACCGGGTTAACCCACGTGGTCTCGTTGCTCGGATCCCATCTATCCGATTCACCGTCCATCCAGACTTTCGTTTTTTCGTCGCACTCACCGGGCCAACTAGGATTCATGCTATTCTTTCCTGAAGATATAGCGAAACCCGCTGCGTTACAAAGCATTCGTTATTTTAACATCATACTTCTCTGGCGTTATGTATTCTACTTGCTAAAATTCCATACCCTTTTCCTCCCATTTGGCCGCCTCTTTGATAGATTCGTTCGGTGGTGTCCACGTGGGAAATTTCGGAGGCAACTTATTGTAACAATTCTCGTCGTCGAGAAATATCGGCGGAGGTAACGGAGGGGGTGGTAACGGGTTCACTGTGTTATTGTTAGTAGGGCCGTCGAAGGGTACTGTGATGTTACTCTGACTGTTTTGACTGGAGTACGGGGAGGGTGTATGCGACTCGCCGGACAAGTTCCGGACTGGCAGTGGGGTACTGTGGGTCATTTGGCAATTATTCACGCCCATGGACGTGTTTTGACTACCCATCATTCTTGAGATCACAGGAGTTACAGGATGTTGTCCTAACACAGGTGAATGTCTGTAGTTGGTACGTTGAGGGGAACCTACTTGGGACTCGGGAATATCTAGACCAAGACCTGGAATTCCACCAGGATCTTGTGTTCCGTCAGAAGAGGGAAGAACAGTCTTTAAGAAACTAGAGATATTAAAGTCCGCGTTAGTACTTTCGTTTTTGGAGGGCCTCATATTAATTACTTCTATTGGTTTAGCCTGAAAAGAGCATACGACGTTTTAACAATGCTTTAATGCAATATATATTTTATTCTTAATTAAATGTACCTCTAAAGAGTCGGTATACTGCTGTGATATTCCAGTAGGCGTCGACGATCTTTCGTTAAATATATTTCTCTAGAAAAAAAATAGCATACACAATAACTCAGACAGTCATCTGGTAATGAGATTATCTGTGACAGAGGTCTTACCATATTACCAAAATCCATATTTCCTCCTATAAAGGACGAAAAGTTATTGGTAAAATCACCAGAGTCATTGCCTTGCCCCAATTCGGGAGCTGGTACAGGCACAGGATCATACTCGTGCGAGTATGTTCCATACATAGATGGTGGAGCCACATCTATCATTCCCAACTGGTTTTGAGTTTGGTTCTCATCTCCTGGTAGATCTATATCACTGTCCGGGCTTGGAGATGGGGCATTGATGTCTGGTGAGGGAATTGGAGATACCAGTGTCGGTAAAAGTTCATCTAACTTTTTCTTTAAATTTTTTACACGACTTCCAAAATTCCTGTATGCCTATACACAAAAAAAAAAGATGATACACTGAACGACACTGACAAAATTAAAAGTATTTGTATTGTTTTGTACTTACGTTAGTAACTATTTTAACTTCACCTCTTTGAGTTTCATAAAATTGATCGGCTTGTTCTAATAACTCGAGCACTTGTGTCCTTTCCCTGATCTCTGCTTCTAATGCACGAACATAATTTTCAACATTTCTCACTGCCAAATCGACTTCTTTCTCAGCATCCTCTACTCTTCTTCTATCTTTCAAAGAAGCGCATAACTCTTCTGCATTTTCTACATCTATGTTACTTTCCCTTAAGTCTCGTAATCTTGCATCTGTTGCTTGCTCCAATGTAGAACAAGATCTCATAGTAGAAATAAGTAAAGCAGCCTGAAATTCTTCTGGAGGTGCTGTTGGTTGTGGGTCCAGTTTCTTTTTTGGAGCTACTGAAATTAATCCGGACAAGTCAGCCAGAAACTCTTCATCGTATACTTGTCGCTGATCCCAGATCTTAAATATCCTCAATATACGATGCTTCACTTTTTCATCTCTGACCATAGTTGTCGCGCGTTGCAGAGTCGTCCCCCAAGACTCCACAAACTCAAAATTTTTTCTCTTCGAGTATTGGATAACATCGTTTGCCAGATAAAAAAGTGTCAAACGATGCTCAACTTTCACTGTCATTTAAAACACATCTGATTATCATCCATCATATTATAACGATGGAATAGAATATGTATTAATAAAATCATAAACAAATAATCAACTGTAAACACGTTGTTTTGACAGACACTAAAACTTATTGTAAGTTACTACAAACAAATAATTTAAGAATTATGATATTTATTAGACTAAGGATTAAAATTATGTCAAAATTGTGGTTTCGGAGTATTTGATTTCCACGTAAATGTTGTTATCAAATAACATTGGTTAAGAAACATTATAGAATTTACCTTTCTTTAGTACTTGCAACCACGTAGCAACAATCTTTTTATGGTGTTGTCGCCTTTCCAGGCACCAGGAAGAGAGACCCTGAATCGACTCCTGAGAATCTTTCAGCGTGTGGAGCCTTCGCTCAAAGAGCTCCACGTCAAAGTCACTGTTCGCCATTATAAGTTACAGTAATACATTTAACAGACTGTTTATGAACTCGTTGCAATGTCACGTTTTAACGTGAACCACCGAGAGGAACACGCATAGCGTTGTTCAGGTATCATAGGTACAACGTCTATCTAGGCAAATCAACCTAACCAAGTAACTGTTGCTGATGCACTAGTCATCGGGATCTCGAACATCGTAAACATCCATCGAAGTCAAACCATTTTCGTTGTCGGCAATATTGTTCTCTAGCTTCTCGAACAGTGTTTCGCACAGAAAACAACAGAAATCTTTGAAAACCACTCGAATCGTTGTTCGTATGATCCGCACGCTGAAGACACCGCTTCCGCGTCACTCACAACGCACAAAGAAACTTCCTCAATTCGGCAAGCAAATCCGTCGTAACAATGCTCTTATGCACTCGACAATATCACATGTAGAACATGTCAACTTTTCCAGTACATTTCAAAACTATCGTAATCCAGTGTGACCGATCTTGAAAACAAGAGTCCGCCATCTTTTCAGAACCAAAACACGAGCGCGCAATGGCCGGCGCGATTTTCTAGTGCATACATATATATATAGCATAGCACGAAATTCAGAAAAAAAATAGCTCCCCATGTAATGTCACATACCCCCTTTGCAAACTCTGTTGTTAAATATTTCGACAAACAGAATGTACGTCAAGTAAAATTTCATATTCCAGCCATTTCGCGTGTAAAAGTGAACGTGTATCCCAGGCGTAGTTATTGAATATTTGACGTTTCGTTGTCGATTAAACAAAGATTGAAGCAACGATTAGAAATAATAGTAAATAAGGTTATAGAAATATCTGATATTTTATCGGCACGCGTATCTATGTGTTTTAAAAGAAAATTTTTGTTACTCTTTCGGGCTTGTTATTGTTTACAAATCGATCGTATTTGTAGGTTAAACTAGTTGCTTCAAAGTTCGATAAAATTTCCGTTCTCATTACGTCGATAACGTTTGTACGTTTACACGTTTATAAGCTTCACTCGATAATGGTTTACATTATTTATTTAAAGTTCAAATGGTCCTGTTTGCCGCGTTGAGTCTAGCAGTTGGTAATAGAGCCTGCGCACTGAGGACGTGGTCCATATCTACACGCAATATCTACAGTACATCGAAGCTACAAAGTGAAGCGCATGGCGACATCTACGGGAGAATTAGGAACTAAATCGACGCAAGAATGTTATCCTACCGAATTTGCGATTGTGATTTCTCCGCTGTTCTCCGTGATTATTCGCGCTCCGTAAGCCGAGCGTAGCAGTACTAGTTGAGAATTAGCTGTGTCATTCCTCAATTTGATTTGCACCTTTTTTGTGATTAGATACTGCGGATAGGATTAAAGGTCAGTTTTTATCTTCAATATTTATTAATACGAGGCTCGTATAATCAGTTTAGTTAAGAGTACACTGGCGCAAGCATTAACTTCGCGTGTTATTTTCCATACTGATTTCACTTTCTCTGTTTCGGATCAAGTTCTTTCAAGATGTCACCGAAGAAAGTTTACGTTGTTGGTGTCGGCATGACAAAATTCGAAAAACCAGGTAGGAGAGATGACGTCGATTATCCAGAAATGGCAAAGGAGGCTGTGACAAAGGCACTGCAAGACGCACGAATTTCCTACAACACGATAAAAGCTGCGTGTGTTGGTTACGTTTATGGAGACTCCACCTGTGGTCAAAGGGCACTCTATGAAGTTGGAATTACTGGCTGTCCCATATATAACGTAAATAACAATTGTTCGACTGGTTCCACAGCTTTACTTATGGCTAAACAGCTAATTGACAGCGGTTCCGTCGATTGTGCATTAGCTCTTGGCTTTGAAAAAATGGAACGGGGCTCTTTAATGTCAAAATTCACAGATCGTACCAATCCTATGGATAAGCATGTAGAAGTCATGGCTGACATTGCTGGTACAAAATTGTTTCTTTTTTTTTATTTACGAGTTTGAATGAGTCTATTCATTTTTATTTTCTTCCATTTGTTTTTGCCGTTATGTAATTGCAGGTATAAACGAGAGTCCAATTACTGCACAGCTGTTTGGAAATGCAGGACTTGAGCACATGAAGAAGTATGGCACCAAATTCGAGCATTTTGCAAAGATTGCCTATAAAAATCATTTACATTCTGTGAATAATCCATACTCTCAATTCCAAGATAAATATACTTTGGAACAAATAATGAATGCTCCAAAAGTATTTGGACCACTGACCAAGCTTCAGTGTTGTCCAACATCAGATGGCTCAGCAGCCGTAGTTCTTGCCAATGAGGACTTTGTCCATAAAAATAAGCTTGAATCTCAAGCAGTAGAGATAGTAGCCATGGAAATGTCTACTGACTTATCATCTACATTCACGGAAAAGAGTGCCATAAAACTTATTGGGTATAGAAATACGAATATTTTTGCAAAATTTAAAGTGTGAGACTTATAAGAACAAATACAAATAATAACTTTATTTTTTTATAGCTATGATATGACAAAGAATGCAGCTGACAAAGTTTTCACTCAATGTCCTTATAAACCAACTGACGTAAATGTTGTGGAATTGCATGATTGCTTCTCGACCAATGAGCTTATCACCTATGAAGCATTAGGCCTCTGTGCACCTGGCCAAGGTGGTAAAATGGTTGATGCTGGTGATAACACATATGGAGGAAAATATGTAGTAAATCCTAGCGGTGGATTAATCTCGAAGGGACATCCCTTGGGAGCCACAGGGCTAGCACAGTGCACTGAATTGTGCTGGCAATTGCGAGGTCTAGCTGGTAAAAGACAAGTGCCAAATGCAAAGCTTGCGCTGCAGCACAATATAGGCTTAGGTGGAGCAGTTGTGGTTGCTCTGTACAAATTAGGTTTCCCTGGAAGTCAACAAGGTGTAAAGAAAAATAATGTAAGCGGACGGGCCAATCCAGAAGGTTTCCAAGCACACTCGTTATTCAAGATATTAGAAATCGCAATGCAAGAAGATGAAGATGGTTTGATTGATCGAGTTCGTGGAATATACGGGTTTAAAGTAACAAAAGGAACGGGCGGCGAAGAAGGTATTTGGATTGTGGACGCCAAAAACGGAAAAGGAAAGGTTGAGTATTACGGGGAGACTAAACCAGATGTTATGATTATGATTAACGATAACGACATCACCGATTTTATATCTGGAAAGTTGAACCCGCAAAAAGCCTTTTTCCAAGGAAAAGTTAAGATCCAAGGCAATATGGGATTAGCAATGAAATTAATTGATTTACAAAAACGCGCCGCTAAAAAGATTGAACTTCTCCGTTCGAAATTGTAAGGTAAAGAAATGTTGAAATTCTTCTAGAGGTTCCACGATCTGACATCGAGAATGACATAAATATAGTCTCGATAAAATATCAAAGTTGGAAGCTTGCATAAAACTACGTTACACTCATTCCTGTTGCATAATATACATATCTTTAGTAGAAAATGTTGAAGGTTCTACAATTTTTTATATACAATTACATAGTTGACGTACTGTATTCTATTTTTCTAAATAGTAACGTTACTATTGCCTAAGACAATTGTTCAATAGTAAATGAACATCTATAATCAAAATCAATTCGTACTAAATTCTTGGTCAAATTGTATTTATAATTTAAGCAAAATTTATGTTTTGTGTATTTGAATATTGTGAGTCCATTAGAGTTATATTTTTTGTTGAATTGTGCATAGTATAAATACATTGTTATACTCCACTCATAATTAAACGAGGCTGTAAGTGTCATAAAGACGCGAGTGCTAAAAATTTATTATAAGTAAATAATATTCGAAGAATATTACAAAGTGCATTATGTAAAGTGATTTTGGTACTCTTTTGCACTTATGGCCTCAAATGTTATGGATATACATCACTTTTTATATTTTTTATCATTTGTATTTCAGAGATACATTTAGGAATTAAGCAACAAAACGTTTTTTTAACTTTTTCTTGATGTTTTTTAACGATATAAGATTAAAGTTATTACTATTGAATTATTGAATGATAGGTAGAAGAAACAGGGTGCAATTACAATGTTATACAGAATTTTTGTTAAGCAGGTGTAGGTTTGTATACTTATTACCGAAATATTTTTATGAAAAAAAATAAATGTTGTTTAATATTTTAAACAAATATGTCTTTTTACTTCTAAGTAACATTTTTATCACCTGTTTATCCCAATGTCCATAACGATAACTGCTGCTGTCGTCATATTGTTATCGTCCGAAAATAACCGCACGTTGTTTACAATTCAAAACATTCCCCTGACAAGTTCAAGTTAAACGAAACAATTTTTAAACAAAAAAGAAGCATTAAGCTAAAAATAACGTTTACGGCCTGAATTGAAATTTCTCACTTCGGTATCGCTCTTTTATCGCTAATGTGATAATTTAAACTTTAAACTGTACTTGAAATAAAGATTAATACGAAAAGTAATCATGAAAGTCAATTGTGTCGTACGTCTAAAGTCATTAAAATGGTCATTCCTGCATAAAACATTTTGAACTCATTAATTATGCATAACATGGAAAAACGATACACTTTAAGTTGTTAATTTAATTTAGTAAAGTCGATTTCATTATGATCCTTGCTTTTCTGTTGTCTTAATATTATTATTATTAGTAGTAGTAGTACTCTTTTTGTTGTTTTTTTGTATATGATATTTCATTTTTCTTTTCATTTTTACTAAACATTATGGTCTCTGTCTCGCCAGTATCGTTTTGTATAAACCTTTGTACTTCGACTGTTCCGTCTTCATTTTAATTTCGTCTCCGTACTTCTTTTTTCTCAATACCAATTCAACCCACTCATTTTGTTTTCCACTTGTTCCTCTCCATCCCGTGATCTCCAACAATCTTTTTCTTGGATAATAGTTCTTATCACGACTACAGCATGAACAAGCTAGCAACTACGGTAGTCGAAAAGAATTTAAAAAATTTCGTATAGTTCGTCCGAAAGTTTCGATCGAAAAAAGTTCATTCCCAATAAGACGAAGCAAGCTTATATATCATAAGATCATCGATGTATCCCATAACTTTGTGTCAGGATGTGCCAGACTTTCGCATAGTCGCCGCACTTAATTCGTTAAACGCGTGTAGCTCTAAATATCGTTGTATCGACGTGTATCGATGTTCGATTGTAATCTCGTAAGCGCTCCGAGTCGCAGCATCCTTCGGAAGGACAAAATCCAATATATCAGAGATGACGTGCGAGCGATTCCCAGAATGATTCGTAGAAAAAAAGAAAACGGTATGTACATAGTCGGTGCGCAGTAAAGCACCGTCTGAAACTGGACTCGGTGATAATTCATCCGAACGGACGCCAGTTTCTGGCACTGGTCTGTCTACCGACGCGCCGATTTTCTAGGATATCCTGAGGCCCGCGCACGCACACGTGCAAACGCGGTACACTCGCAGGAAAAGCGTATGTACTATATTTATAGCTAGAGATAAATATACACCCTGGCCAGCCTCCAAATTACCACACGCACGTACGGGCCCTGAGTTCGAGTAACGGCCTAACCCCTGTAATAGCAGCATCGTGTCAGTGCTATTAGTGACGTCTATCGACGTTGCGGCTGTCGCGGGTAACGAGAGGCGAAAAGAAAGGGAGAAAAGAAGGAAATAGGCGAAAAGAAGAACTATTACCCCGGGGGTGCGCGCGGAGACACCGTCGAAAGATGTAAACGTTCCTCGGGCCCAGCCGAGTCTTACCGATCGTGGAAACTGTATCCGGAATTTTTGTGAGATCGCCGCGTGATAGTCGGCCGTGTGCCGTTCACGATCGATCGATCGTTCGTTCCCTAACGTTCGTTCGTTTGATATGCGATTGCCGGGCCCGTCCTCTTCGCCCGGTATGGAAGGTGCGATCCCATACGCCGTGCGCGACCGTTCTTAACGACGTGCCGGATAAATTTAATCGTGACCGCTTGCTGCTGCATTTGGGTTAACATCGATCGAAGTAAGTACATACCAGTCAATACCTAATTGCGTAAGATTCTGACCGGGATCCGGCAATCGATTTCACGGTTACTCAAGCGCTTTGTCTCGCGCAACGAATTTCGACGGATCTCTCCCCCCGGAATTCGTCGAAGCGAGCAACATCGACGCGAACGGGATTCGGTTCTCACCGTCGTTCCCGGGCACGAGGATAAAGTCGAAATCGTTTTGTGCGCACAGAGGAGGATGCTAGTTTTGATACGGAATTCGGGACTCGATGTGTATTGCGCTCTTGTATTTTTGGAAGACTGCAACGAGGCTCGCGTGGGTCGAACGAGTCTAGAGAGACAATTGGACTCTATCGCGCGATTTAATTTAATTCGATCTGATTCTGTTATAAGCGGCGGAGAAGCGACGTGGATCTGCTTGAAATTCGCGCGTTTTTTTCTTTTCTTCTTTTTTCTTTTCAACACGCGAATACGTAATTCGGGGTTGGCTTTCGAACGTCGTAAAGTCCGGACAGATTTAATCGATGTCGATGATATGATAATGTGTTGAGCTGTACGACGTGAAATTTATTCGTTCCGTTCAGCGTTCACCGAACGTTGTATTATCGACAACGAATTCGATACGTCGGTGGCAGATAACGCTGTCGCGTGTACACACAATTAACGGAAATAAGCGTCTTTTTACAGAAAAACTAATTGTTCGTTTTTACTATAAATAGGAGTCGTTGGCTTTCGATGTCGACGAGGATAATTCGCGTAGATAAATTAGCGCAGCGATTGTTACAGGCTATTTCAAAATCCGAGGTCTCAAAATATTAGTATTTAAAATTATGTACTTGTGTGTGTGTGAAATCAAGAGCGCGCGATTCGAGAATTCATTTGCGCGTCGTCGACTATTTCGCGTTCCGCAGAAAGCCAAGTTGGCTGACGCGTTGCGAAACACGCGTCTCTCCTATTAATTCAAGGTTTCGTTTCTAGGTCCACCCGTGCCGGCTTTCTAGCTTTTAGAGTCGGGAAGGGCTCGATTGTTAGATCGCCGCGTGTGACACTCGCAACGAGATATGCCCTGCGCCGGAAATCTTTCGCCCAGATTTTCGATTCGCAGCAATACAAATCTCCCGCGTCTCGTATACGGTGGTACGCAGCTTTCCAGGAACATTCTTCGTGCATTCTCGTCGTGATCCGTGATGTCTGCCCCCCCCCCTTTCGCTCCCTCCGTGCTCCGTCACGTATTAACCCTTTGCGGACGAGTGTCGGCAAATAGCCGCCCAAGTCTTCTTACCGCTTTTTTTTTATTAATTTATTAACACTATGCCGTCCGGTGGCACCACGCTGATGCCATGCAGAAACTATCTGTTGTATGCCGGTGGTACCATTTTGGTGCCATTTTAAAAAACTGAAATAACATTTGAATTATATTTCTTGGGTGTTAAAAGGCAGCAAACCAACTATAGCATTGTGCTTATTTAACTAAGAATTAAGTACGAAAATTCTTGGACGACTTATCTTAATTTTAGGAATTTATATTACCGCCATCTTCGAAATTTTTTTTTAAATCTAAAATTTCCAAGCTATTATGCAAAAGAATCATATCTAAAATCTGCGGACGGCATAGCGTTAATTATTAATATAAATTTATTAATTTAACCGTAGGTTCAGAACGAATTTCAGTTTGACGAGTCAGTCTTTCTGTGTCACTACCAGAGAAACCAGCAAAGTTTTCTACATATTTATAATCTTATAATAATGTAATTATATCTTATAACATTTTTATTTTATATCTAATACCTGTCGTCCACAGCGACGCAATACCCGTCGAGCGGCTTCGTCCGAAAAGGGTTAACCCTCGAGCAGCCTGCAAGAACAACGCAGAACACCGACGCCGGGTCATTCGTGACCGACGTTACAATATTGCACTTATCTTCGTGCAATATTTTCCAGTATTGATACGAACTGTTCAAATTATAGTTCACCGATCGAGGAGACCCGGCATCGGCGGAGAGCCAAAAATAATCGAACAATAACGAATGTCACGGCAAACTAATAATTACATCGACGTTCTGTTTCTTCTTCTTTAAAAACACCATTTGTCTTCCTAAGCATGTTCTACCACCTTGAAATGTCCGGGTACGAACATTAACTTCAGGAAATGCCGAAATGAATATGTAAATGTGAAAGCGTTTCTATGCACACGGATATTCATATGTTCAATGTCTAATGATCGATGGGCTCTTCGTAAATAACATACATATTTACAAGCTATCCTCGCCTGTGCACTTCATTCTTCGACGAAGTATAAGCCTTCTTCTGTGACTTCTAACTACATATGTATCATGAATTATTATCATACAGTACTTGTCGTCTCTGTGTAAACTGCAAGCGGCAACACGAATCATTTCCGTCAATTGATATTTCAATGTTCCCACGCAGAATGCACCACATGTATTCCTCGAAGAAAGGCGATCCCCTCTGCCCCCTTGGCTTTCATCCTCAAGTGCGATGGCCCACTCGCTGCAAGAGATGCTTCAGGTATTACAAGATCTTCGTTTAAATTACCAAAGAAAAGTAAACGATATCGATCGGTATAAATCACCGGTAAAATTGGTGACGCATGCGAAGGATAATCAACAGACATTTTTCCAGGGATTACAAGGAACATGGTGGTAAAAGGGATAGTCTGAGGGACATCACGTCCTCCACACCGAGTCTTTCGTACGAGCAATCGTCGGGCCGGTGAGTTGAAGAGGACCACGGAAACACGGCAAAAAGTTTAATAGACGCATATTCTTTGGATTTTATAAATTACAATATACAGGGTGTCCCAAAAATGTCTCGCAATCCGAAAGTGACGGATTCCTCAGGTCATTTGAAGCAACTTTTTCCTTTACAAAAATTTTCTCCGAGGCACCGTTAACGAGTTATTAACGAAAAACAGTGGCCAATGAGAGGCGACCGAGCCAATGAGCGGAACTGGACTTCGTGCGCTGGT